CTGAGATGAAGGTAGATGCTTAACCAACTGAGGTGCCCAGGAACCCCGAGTTTCACGAACTTAAAAAAAAAAAAAAAAAGACTTCCAATCAAGGAAAGCTAAGCCTAGAATAGACTTTCACATCGGTCCCCATAATCAACCTCTGAGGCCCCACATTGAAAGCTTCGGTGAGCTAAAGGATAGAAAGACACATCACCCTCTTTCCCAGAAAGAGACACAGGCTGAGAGGGACTGCCTGCCCCCACCGGCTATGGAGCAAGAACAAACTGCGGAATTCAAGACTTGACATTCAGCCATCTGCCTTCGAACAGGTCCTCTGTGGGGTCAGCTCCAAAACGACCATGAGGAAGGACGAAAGAATTTACCTCAGAGGCTGGCTGGCTATTGAGTCTTTGGACCACAAGCCCTTCGCTCGTTGTCCCAAACTAACCTGTGTTCACTACCCTGTGAAGTAACCAAATGTCAGGTTGTTGCCACTGCGAGGACATGTTCGATGAATGGGAAGTCGGCGCCATTTTGATGGGAGCGGCCATGTTCCACAAAGACTTCGAAAAAGAAGGCATTGCTCGGTGATGGTAATTACGCATGTAAGTGACATCAGTATAGATAATTCTTGACTCCTGAAGGAGTTGAGTTTAAGAACGAGCTAAGGAAGAAAGTCAGGAATATAAAATCCTTCCCCTGGGTCTACAAAGGTCTCCAAGACTCTGTTGACACCAACGGTGGAAGCAGCTTTTTAGGAAAGGAGATAATTTTCTGGGTGATTCTCCTGAGAAAAGGAGCAAGATGCTTGAGGTCAGAGTGTCAGTCTCCGTTGTTTCAAACTGCCTGGGTGTCCTTGAGTTGGTCACTCACACACGCAGAGCCTCTGTTTTCTGGACTCGTAAAATGAGGCGTCAGAGCCAGGTCTGCACCAGCTGTAAAATTCTATGATTCTCTAAGTAACCGTTTACTGCACGGCTGGCAAGGCTGCCTCGATAATCAGAATGATCCAATTAACACAGTGCAGTGTAGGCTGTTCTAGCTATAGTTGCAAAAAACAAGAATAAAATTCAGAAAGCCAGATCGTTGCAGAGTGGAAGGCATTCCGATCATGAAATCCAGTCACTTTATTTTTCAAAACAAATGGGAGACTCTGAGGACCAAAGAGGTCGAAAAGCTTTGTTAAATTACAAGCTGATTAGTAGCAGAAGCAAGACGAAGGCTGCCTGACAGGTTCTGCTTGCACCGAGCTGCGATCTTGCCCCTCCAGCTTCAGCCCTGCCATCTGCACCAGCAGCTGCCTTGGACCCTGCGCCTTTTACGTGACTCATTAAACAGCCTCCATCACAGCTGGGCTTTACTGGCTGTGGGGTTATTCGTTTTCCAGACACCTAACCTAGGAGACACTGGAAGAGCGACCTGAAAGGCCTTCGTGAAAGTAGGCCAGAGTAAAATTCTCTAGAAAGTCCTCCAAGAGCTGCTGAAGACAGCAAGCATCTCTCCTCCACCTGCTGGCTTCTCATGTTTATCAGATGAGAATTCTACAGGTAGGAGGTTCGAGGGCAAGCTGGTCCCGATCCCATAACTTCAGGAACCAGACCACTGCCTCGACACCCCTCGCTCGCTGTCCCTTGGGCTTCGGGCCCTGTGCAGATCTGCAGACCCCACAGGTGGGTACCTGGCCTCGGACGGCCCCTCCCTCAGACCCGGCTCGGCTCCTGGCCAGGCTGGATCTATGGATTCCAGCAGCCACTGGGCGTGGCAGGGCACCACCAGGACAGCTGTCCCCACCACGCTCCAGATGCGGACTCTGCAGAGGGACAGCCCTGAAGACCTTTTAGGGACACTGGGAACTTCTGCGCGGGGAACAAGGCTTCATCCCACCCAGCGTGCTGCCTCGTGTTCTAATACGAGACAATTTCTTCCCAAAGCTACAACATAGAGACACTGAACCCCAAATCCTGCTGGGTGCACCAGCTTGTCACATCTATCAGGCGTGATGCTGTCTGAGAGAGGCCGGACTCATACGGGTCCGTGCAGTGTGTCTCCGTTTATGTAAAACCAAAAATAAAAAAGCAAAACTAGAGTAGTGACAGAAGTCAGATGGGGTGATACTTCTGATAGGGATGATACTTGGGGGCACAAGGAGCTTCCCGGGGGTTGGACATGCTCCGTTTCTTGATCTGGGTTTCTGAAATCGGGTGATTCCAAAGGTATGAAGGTATGTAAAAGTTCAGACATGTGTGTGCTTTACTATACACATGCTAAATAGAGCTCCATGAAAATCAAAGTATTGTGTGAAGCCCCCGACGTCAGCAGAGAACACGCTTCTTCCTTTCCTTTGGCGTGGGGGTGTCTGAGATTCTCTGGATGGGGTCTTTGCAAATCACAGGGGTCACAGCAATGGCTAGACACAGGCTTGCAGGCACCTGGCCCGACACAGAGAGACTTGTGTGAATGACCCCCTTTGATCCCTAAAGCATTTCCATGGGGTGGAAATGGCCACGTCTCCCCTCACACAGAGAGCATGAAGTCGCTTCGTGACCTAAGGGGAAGCAGCGTGTGCGGAGTCACTCTGGAGGTCAGGAGTCAGAACTCTGAGGCCACACCAACACAGTTTGACTCCAGAGCCCCTGAAACAGAGAGAACACGAGCAGGAGGACAGGAAGGGCAGGAAGCAGACACCGTGCAGAGCAGAGAGCCCGACGCAGGGCTCAATCCAGAACCCCGGGATCATGACCTGAGCCCAAGGCAGATGCTTTGCCGGCTGGGCCCAGGTGCCCCCAGAGCCTCTGTTCTTCACTGGTCTTCACGGTTCCTTGTGCGCTACAAGGTTGGGGGTTTCCCAAGCTGCGTAATACTGGGCTCGTTCTCTTTTCCCTCCGCCTGAGAGGCCCATGCCCATATGACACGGTCTGCACACTCAGCACTAAGAGGAAAGAGGACCGAGGCCTGGGGGGACGGCTTCTCTCCAGTGGACCACGTTCTAGAGTTTATTCGGGAGGCACACCGAGTTGGGTACAAAGGCCTGCATAGTCTCTTTTCTTTGCCTCTACCAGCAGACAGCAGGTGCTATTACTGCCTTGTTGTTGTCTGACCTGATTCCTCCCCCTTGAGAGAAATGCACAGTGGGGGCCACCCAGAATGTTTTCACGTGCTGTTTGCTGGGACATTCTGGAACACTGCGTCTTACTTTGGACAAAATTTCCACAGCGTGCCACACACTTCTAAGATCTGCTCTGGCCTTCTGAAAAGGCTGAGGGGGCTTATTTTCCTTTTTCTAGCTTGTATATTGTTATGACATCAAATATAAGTATGGCGTATCTGTAGAACCCGGAGAAGGCATTAAGTGCTCTTTAATTAAATGGTACGCGGCTCATGGTTTTCCAGACGCCCTCTTTTATCCTCTACTGCCTTCCCAATTAGCTCCCTGGAGCTCTCACATGGCAACCTGTTGGATCATTGATTTCTCGATTAAAAGCGGCCATAAATTACAGGTCCTGTAAAAACCCACCAGGGAGAAGGGTAGAAAGCAACTTAATGACAGCTTAGACCCCATCAGCAGCCAGGCCCCGCTGCCCACCCAAAGTATGAACTGGGCTCTGTTATGGGAACGTGGGATGATGCCCTGCCCGCCCTTACCCCCCACGGCAAGAATTCACCCACGCACTTTTCAAGTTACTTGGAAAACAGATGGCCTGTTGCAATTTTTTATGAAACAACTGGTCTCCTCTCATCACTGCCCCTGAGCACCTGGGTGGCTCCCTGCCCATGGCTGGGGCCTTGTGTTCACAGCCTGGCCCTAGCCCAACCCCAGCGGCAGAGCAAAATGTCCTAAGGGCAGGCGGCCCAGCAGCAGCCTAGAGGATGGAAACAAGGCTGGGATGCAGGGTGCCGGGGACAGACCACCATTCCTGCTGCCCTCGGCTCCCGACTCGCCCTCCCTCACCAGGCCGGGAGTTCTCCCAGCTCATCTCAATGCTCTGCCTGCCAGGCCTGCTCCCCTTCATCACATCCCACGTGGCCGCAGCGACCGTCCCCGAGCTGCAGCTCCTGAGAAGCACCGTCTACCCCGTAACTAGCATGCGGCAATCAGGCCCGAATTTGCCATGTGGCCTTGACCACACAGAAGAGGACACCTCGGTCACCGGCCCATTCTGCTTCGTGCCATCGTGGGCCCCGAGAGGACATTCTCGCCCCATCCCGCACCTGCTCAGACCCTGCAGGTGCCAGGTTCTGCCAGGTCTGCCCAAGGCCTCCATCACCTTCGCTCCCACCGGACTGCCCCATGAACTCGGGCCCCACCAGCAAGAAACCTCTGCGTTCGGCAGACTGGACGCGCTCTGCTTCCAACGAGTGTGGAGTGATTTCGGGGACACGCACGATCCTTGATGCTGTTAAGGTGTCAGCGTGAGGTCCCTTCAGCGGAGCAGAAGGGAATCAGTCCCCAGTGCCCACCTCTTATGCCAAGCACAGCCTTGTTCTCCATGAGCCGCCGTGAAGGAACGGAAGCACACACACCCGCACACGCACACACATGTGCACACACACACGTGCACACACATGCACACACACACATGCAGGCACACCTACCCTGTTCCTTTCCGCAAGATGGGCAAAAAGATCAATGTTGGCACTGGTAAAAGAATGGAAGTAAAAGCCAGGAGAGCAAAAGAGAGGGAGGCTTAAATCAGAAAACAATACTCTTGGATCATTTCAGATAATAAATAAATAAATTTGGTGATCACTAGAAGAATGAATCCATCACAGATTTCCAATAAAAATAAGAAAAAGTGACTCAAGCCAACGTCCCAACCAGAGCAAGAACTGCTCACTGTGTGGGAAACTGTACGTGCAAATGCGGGCAGCCCCGAGGTCACGGGATCCTTCCAGAGAGTCAAGAACTTGTTGTGCCAAGGGGAAAAAACACGACAATTTTCAAGTTATCTTTGAGAAACCATTTCCTGCCCATTGGCAAATGGCAAAGTCAAAGGGAGGTTCTTGGAGGAGGCTCTTACCTGGTCATCGTAGCGGTACGTGAGGAACTGCTCCCCCGTGGTGTCTTCGAGAAAACTTCCCTGAGGTGAGAGTGCAAACTCTGGAAGGAAGTAGGCTCCAGGGGACTTCTCTGCTGTGGTCTGAAAGGCAAGGTCACCTGGTTACAAGTAAGGCCCCGTGAGGAGCCCCTGACGGGCAGTCCCCAAACCAGTGATTCCCAGAGCACCCACCTGCTAACAGCTGTCCCAGGAAGGGATGCGACCTTGCTTAGTAAAGGCCAAGGTGAGACACACCAAGGGTCTGTGTGAGGCACTGTTAGGCCAGGACACCCCAGGACACTCAAACTCGCACACACGGTACCGATTCCCTGACACCCGCCCTCTCCCCACTGCCCACACCCTTCCAGAGTTTCAGCTACGGCGCAGTTCACTAAGTGCTGTGGTTGCCAATCCACTGTGTCTAGGACTTTCTTTTCCTTCCTTCCTTCCTCCTTTCCTTCCTTCCTGTTTTTGTTTGGTAAAGGAGTGAGAAACAAACTTTCCTCCACACTACGAAAGAAACCCATGTTCACCACAGAAACCTTTGAAGACACCAATAAACACAAAAGAAAATATACAAGTCGCCCCGTAATCCCTCCAACCTATAATCACCACTTTTAATTGTTTGGGTGTATTTCCTTTGAGACTTTTTTTTTCCTCATAATGCTTTGGATGTTTATAGAAAAATCCAAGATGAAATAAACATGGCTTTGGCAGGGAGACTCTATCTGGTTCAAGGAATGCCCAGACTCTGGCACCTGGATCACTAAACATAAGCCCCTGTCGTCAGGGCTGAGGGGATTCAGGAAGAAGGACATTATCCCTTGGAGACTACAGGGGGGTCCAATGGCCCGGTGGACCTCCTGCCATCAGTTGCCAATACCTTCAGCCGGGATCCCTGCCTTGACTGGTTGACAAGGAGGAAAGAGATAAAGGAGATGGAGCCCCCGCAACACTGTGTGCAGCCCCACCTGGTCCGGGAACGCAGATCAACGACTCTGCCTCCAACACGGCACCTCACTCCCCAGCTTGGGAAGGAATTAGTAAGAATCCAAGAAAGAGGCCATAGGTGCTACTCTGAGGAAAACACTCTCTGCAAACAGGAAGCATGAGGAGTGAAAGTCCCCCTCAGCTGCCTCTGCTCCCCCAACGGTCACATTCTCAAGCTGTAGCAGGAACTTCAGTTAAAGCAAAACATCCGGAGCGTCTGGTGGCTCAGTGGGTTAAAGCCTCTGCCTTCAGCTCAGGTCATGATCTCAGGGTCCTGGGATCGAGCCCCGCATCAGGCTCTCTGCTCAGCAGGGAGCCTGCTTCCCACCCCCTGCACCCCCTGCCGGCCTCTCTGCCTACTTGTGATCTCTCTCTGTCAAATAAATAAATAAAATCTTAAAAAAAAAAGGGCAAAACATCCATGTGAATGCCACACTATAACAAGGGCAATCAGTAGGTGACTGTCTTGGGAAGGCACAGAAAACAGACAACTCTAGGTTTTGGTTGGCACTAGACTGTTCCAAAAACTTCAGAAGTTTCCTATGACATTTCATTCACACATTCAGCCCAGGGAGCAATAGGAATCTTCCCAGAGCCATGCGCCACTCCCGCACCCCATCTCCCTTGCCTTGTTTCAGAACGGCTAGCTTCGGTCTAGACTGCTCTGATCTGAAGTGAGGAAAACAGGACAGTCACCCACAAGCCTTGACACAGGTTTTCTGGGCAAGTTTTCTCTAGCAGAATGCTGTCGTCTGTGTTCAGAAATTAGTGGGGTCCCTGCAGCCTGCCACAGTGCCAGGGGTGTCAGGAGTCTGGCAGGGAAGTCTTTTCGGGCTCCAACAAAGGTACGGAACTCATCTATGACACCTGGCCAGCCGGCGCTGATGGCTGCTGGAGATTGTTGCTCTAAGTAGCCTGGGAAGGAAAGGGAGGGGGAGCTAATACCACAGACCCCACAGAGACAACTGGCTCTCAGACACTGTAGTGCTGTTTTATGGATCTCAACCTGAAACCCCAGAAAAAGCAAAAAAAACCTCTCCAGCACTCATGTTTTCACACCTCAGTCATTTTTCATGTGGGGAAAAAAAATATCATAGACTCCCTGGCTTGACTGTAGCTATAGCTGATCACCTTCTGCTTTCTGACCTGCTGTTTCCAATGTTTAAATTTTGTCAGGCTTAAAAAAGAGAGAGAGAGAGAGATGGGAATGAAAATGTCCATGTGAAAAGAGAAGGTGCAATGTGAAAAGAGAAGGTGCACTTAACAAGATTTCTTGCTTCTGTGTATGTTTCCTAGGCGGTTTGAGGATGTGTCAAAGTCTAGTTATTCTTACCAAAGACAAACACATCTAGGGAATCCTTGGGGAAATCCTACATGACTGCAGAACAATGATGGGTTTCATCTCAAGACAGTTCCCTATAAACTGATTACCGACACACCTAGCAAATAGTCTGTAACGTTTAGTTGCTGTCATTGTGATTTGCCTCTATTGTTTTTAGAATTCAGAAACTCATAATTTTAAATATGTAAGGAGGCTTGCCACCCACCACAGAGAAGAAGCCAGGCCTAGAGCCCACAAGCGGCTACGTGTGAGACACAGAAATCCAGTTACCAGGGAGTGGGGGCTGGAAGCCACGTAGGGTCATCACCTGAAGACGGCTCCCTGAATACAGTGCTTTATGTATAGTTGATCACATGTTTCACACGTATTTACTGAGCACCTACTATATACCCGCAGCCATTCTAAAAGCTATGGGTACCATGAGGAACAAGAAAGATAAGGTCCTTTTTATGGAGATTTCATTCTAATGGGAAGACACATAATAGGCAAACAAATTAATAAATAAGAGAAAGTTCTCAGTGCTATGAAGAAAATAAATAGAGTGATATGGGGTAAGTTGAGTTTGCAGAAAGAAAGGGGGTCAGTGAGGCTGATCCAGGAGGACAAGGAAGAGAGCAGAGAGATAGGCAGAGATGGAAGAATGGAAGAGGCAGGACACATGGAGCACTGTGGGCCCAGGCAGGGGGTTACAGAACCACCAGGAGTATTTCAAACCTTGACTGCTTCATGGAGGATGGGTTAGAAGGGGGCAAGAAGGGAACCATTCCAATGATGGAAGGCTGTTGCACTAATCCAGGCAAGAAGGGGTGATTCCTTGGATGAGGATGATGGCAGTGAAGAATGGGAGAGCTGATGGACAAGAGGTAGAACCTACAAGACTTGCCGATGGGTGGGAAGAAGGAAGGAATTAAGGACAATTTCTGGGGTTCAGGCTTGAGCAACAGGCTATAAAGGAATGCCATGGATGTGCAGCCCTGGCAGGAAGAGAGGGCAGAGAGGCGATAATTCTGTTTGAGTCACGTGCAGTTTGAGATGCTAGGAGACATCCATGCAGAGAGCTTGAGTTTGCCATTTAATATGGACATCTGGAGCTCAGAAGGGCAGTCTAAGGCCAAAGACAGAGATTTGGAAGTCATTGTTGACATTTTCATACATTTATACATACACTCACATCTTCACAGCCATCCTAACTGAAAGGAGCCTCCCTAGAGAGTTTGGCAGATGAGGGCTTCTGTCTGGGGCCCTTAATAATTCTCATGTCTGAAGGTGAGTAGAGAAGGAGCAAGCAGAAGAAGTTAAAACGAGGAATCCTTCAGAGAAGACTCAAGAAAAGAAGAGAAATCATGGGTCATGGGAGGATTCAGCATCAAAAATAGTGGCCAACTACCTTGAATGCCTCCGAGAGACTGAATAAGATGAGGCCAGAGAAGGACCCGCTGGGTATAGCAACAAGGAGATCTTTGTTAACCTTGACAAAAGTAGGTACAGTGGAGCGGCGGGGACCATGGTTATGGGTTTGGGGACTGGATAGAAGAGGAAGACAAGACCAGGAAAGGACACTTAGAACAAGGCAATGGTGAAAGGGAATGTGGAAGTATGGGCAGGATTTTTAAAGACTGGAGAAGCAGGAGCGTGTGTGTTTGGTTATGGGAATCATCCAGGGTAAGAGAGACTATGGAGGAGACGAGAATCACTGCAGGAGTCCAGCCCTTGAAAAGACAGCGGAATGGGGTCCAACCGGTGCGTGCAGAGCCTGGCTTTCCTAAAGAGAAGGGTCCCTGGTCCATGTAAGTCTACGCCATACCACACCCGCCAGCAGACCCCTGACTTTGACCCTCAATCTTCCGCTGTGCCTCCTCCTCCGACACTCTTCTACTGGGTCCCAAGGTCATCCCCCTGTGTCTCTCTCCCCACTTTCTTACCTCCCAGATGGCTCTCTTGCCTGGGGCCCCCTGCAACTGCCCTCCAGCTGAAAGAGCGGGCCACCTGCATCATCTCCCAAACAGCTGCCTTCTGCGGAAGGTGGGACCATCCTAAGCCTGCTGTGTGTGACATCTTCTGAAGGTTCCTTTGGTCACACCACAACGCTTCTCTGTGATCAGAGGACTCATGACTCTGTTTCCCCACGATTTAAAACAGCTAGAGACACTTAATTAGCTCCAATGAGCTTTCTTTTCTCTGCTTAAATTCGGATTGGGTAAAATGAGGTCTGTTTGCCCTACATTTTATTCCTATCCCAGGCTTCTGCCTCTCCCCCCCAGGCCCACTGAGGTGTTGCATGTTGGAGGAAGTTCCCTAGGGCTGAGAACAGCATCTCTCTCGCGTCGGCCCATCCCTGACCACAGGTGTGTGGGCAGTAAGGAGGGAAGACAGGTGGGTTCCACTACCTGAGCTATGCAGGACAGGATCCTTCTTCAGCAACCCCATCTGCGGGGCTCAAGGTCACTGGTCCCTGGGCAACAACAGATTCCCTCCATACCCCACATCCCATTTTCGTTACCAAAAAACAGGAAGACTTTATATTTGTCTCTTTTTATCAGAATCCTTACTCCTGAGTAAATTTCTCATCATTCAAGAGTTGATTCTAAAACTCCATTCCAATTCAAGTCCTCTCCCTCCATAGCAGCAAGGGTGCACCAAGGTCACAGGGCACCACTAGGACTGCCTGAACTTTGAAAAGGTGTGTGGGGATGTCCCACGATTATGAAAGCCCTGCACTTCAAAAGCCCCTCTAATCCAGCCTGTCTACCTCAGAAATCCTGCCAGATGA